TACAATTTCGGAGCCCGATTCTAAAATTCGGCTTTGTTTACAAAGAAATGTTTATTTATTTACATTTTCCTTTGTTTATTTACAAAAATTTTCGAAAATTTTGGGCTCCGGTTTCTGAAATTTCGTTTGTTTGCAAACATTGGTTTGTTTATTTACATTTTTTGTTGTTTGTTTTGAGAAAATTCTTGGAAATGACGTCAAATTCCTGGAATTTCCGAAATTTTGGGAAATGACGTCAAATTCTTGGAATTTTCGAAAAATTTTACACTTTCGGAGCCCGATTCTAAAATTCCGCTTTGTTTACAAACAAAGGTTTGTTTATTTACATCTTTCAATGTTTATTTACGAAAATTTTCGAAAATTTTGGTTCCCAAATTCTGAATTTTCGTTTGTTTGCAAACATTGGCTTGTTTATTTACATTTTTTATTGTTTGTTTTGAGAAAATTCTTGGAAATGACGTCAAATTCCAGGAATTTCCGAAATTCTGAGAAGTGACGTCAAATTCTTGGAATTTTCGAAAAATTTTACACTTTCAGAGTCCGATTTTGAAATTCCGCTTGATTTACAAACAAAGGTTTGTTTATTTACATCTTTCAATGTTTATTTACGAAAATTTTCGAAAATTTTGGTTCCCAAATTCTGAATTTTCGTTTGTTTGCAAACATTGGCTTGTTTATTTACATTTTTTGTTGTTTATTTTGAGAAAATTCTTGGAAATGACGTCAAATTCCAGGAATTTTCGAAATTCTGAGAAGTGACGTCAAATTCTTGGAATTTTCGAAAAATTTTATATTTTCGGAGTCCGAAATTTCGCTTTGTTTACAAACAAAGGTTTGTTTATTTACATTTTTCAATGTTTATTTACAAAAATTTTCGAAAATTTTGGTCCCCGATTTCTGAATTTTCGTTTGTTTGCAAACATTGGTTTGTTTATTTACATTTTTTGTTGTTTATTTTGAGAAAATTCTTGGAAATGACGTCAAATTCCTGGAATTTCCGAAATTCTGGGAAATGACGTCAAATTCTTGGAATTTTCGAAAAATTTTACACTTTCGGAGCCCGATTCTAAAATTCCGCTTTGTTTACAAACAAAGGTTTGTTTATTTACATTTTCCAATGTTTATTTACAAAAATTTTCGAAAATTTTGGTCCCCGATTTCTGAATTTTCGTTTGTTTGCAAACATTGGTTTGTTTATTTACATTTTTTTTGTTTGTTTTGAGAAAATTCTTGGAAATGACGTCAAATTCGTGGAATTTCCGAAATTCTGGGAAATGACGTCAAATTCTTGGAATTTTCGAAAAATTTTACACTTTCGGAGCCCGATTCTAAAATTCCGCTTTGTTTACAAACAAAGGTTTGTTTATTTACATTTTCCTTTGTTTATTTACAAAAATTTTCGAAAATTTTGGTCCCCGATTTCTGAATTTTCGTTTGTTTGCAAACATTGGTTTGTTTATTTACATTTTTTGTTGTTTGTTTTGAGAAAATTCTTGGAAATGACGTCAAATTCCTGGAATTTCCGGAATTTTTAAAGTTGGAACTTACCTGAGAACGACGATCCACGAAAATCCGAGGTCCACGAAATTTCACGTTTCCGATATCATTACCATCTGATTTTTTTTCGGGCTTATCACGCTTATCATCGAATGGACGTGAAGAGGACGTGGAAACGGACAAGGTTTTTTTTTAAAGATGCAAAGCAATTTTTCGGTTTAAAAATATATTTTATTTCCTTAATCGCGTTCTATGTTACATTTCAAGGCAATATAAAACAAAGAAATAACTGCGCCATCTTAAATAATATGTCTTAAATAATACATTTGTTGACAACAAACAAACGATTCGTCTCTCGAACACGAACGGAACTTAAAATTAGTCGACAAACTCGTATCGATAATGGACGATTCATTTCGAAGGTAAAAAAGAAAAGAAGAGAATTAAAAAAAAAAAGGAAAAAAAGTAAGAAAAACGAGAAAGTTTAATCAATTAAATCGAAAAAAGATATTTTTGGAAATGATATTTCCGATCATAGTTTTTTTTTTTTTCCCCTCCTTAAATCGTGCACTATCGGTATTATCTTCTCCTCTTTTCTAAAATAGCGATCGATACGAAACAAACTCAATCACTGTGTATTTGTCATATCGGATTTTTGACTATCACTGTACTATTCTCTACGTTTTCGGCAAAAATTCCTTTTAAATCGTTGCACTCGAATAACTAATTGATATTGTCCCAAAGGCAAAGCGCGCGCTCCCGTGTGCCGTTCATTATTCGCCGGTTCGTTTTTCGTGGTTCGCGCACCGCAACGAAAACATCGCGTTTCATTTTTTGACATTTAGATAACGTAACGGGATAAAAAGGAAACGTTATCGAAGATTTGTAACCGGTTAATTTTTCCAACGCAAAATTTCGAAAATTAATTCCGTGCATACCGCCGTGTATACTTGCACGATCGGATTTCCAAAAAAAAAAAAAAAAAAAAA